CCTACACGAATAATGGCAAACGAGAGGGGCAAAGGTAGCAGTTGGAATCAGACTAGGTCATGGACAAGACATGCTTGTAGCATTTATTCATTGAATTCTGGAGGAACAGTGGGTTGCAGTATGCTGGAAAAGTGGAAGTAGCCTCACAAGAACAGACAGAATAATTACCAGAGCCTAGGACTTGCTGGCCTCTGTGCCCCTCCCGAAAACATTCTCTTTACCAGGCTGTTAAGAAACCCCAGCATCTCACTCCTGGAAGTCCATTAAGTTACTGATTCCCCAAAAGCTACGCAGGAGCCACGTACACTGCCAAGTAGCTTCCCTGTTACATGTTCCCCAGTGTGTGCATACAGCCAAACACAAACCCAAGTATACCACTTAAAAAAAAAAAAAAAAAAGGCCTGGTATTCCCTAGCTAAGATGCCTGTACTCTACCTTCATCCTGGCAGCCAAGCTTACAATAGTCAAGTGCTTCAGCTTGTTCTTCTGGGCCCCTGTTAGCTCAGGCAAGTTATCTTTGTTCGCTGTTAATGTAAAAAAAAAAAAAGAGCGCTGAAGTTACGGGTTTTCCTTCTAGAAGTAAACAATTCTTCAGGTTACAAAAACCTCAAACCAGCTGGACCAAGTGAGTCTGAAACACTGAACTCCTCTGGCTACTGCCTGTGCTCGTGAGAAGAAAAATCTGCCATCAATAACAGATTGGCCACACCCAAGGAGAGGCAGAGGGAACTCAAAAGGAAGCTGGCGGTTTCATTGTTATCTGTTCTTCGGCACCTCGGAGTGTGGAATTAGACTGTAAATCGCACGTACACAAATGAGGCCCTGCCAAAATAGACCGGCGATATTTTATTTCCAGCACATAAACCATCTCTGTGCTTCTAATGAACCCATGTAAATACAAACTTGCACTCTTGTGGCTCCAACTGCAAAATAAAATTTGGTAATTATTTTTCTGAAAAGCATCAAGAAATTATTCCGGGAGATGCTTATATGGCCTTCCTGTCACTGCTGGAAGAGACCGGCCATTTCCAAAACAAAGGGGCTCTTTGGAATCTCCTTGCTAATGTAAGTCAGCATTTCAGGAACATAAGTGTTATCTTAGCCATCCCACCTCATTCAACGCTTTCCATTTTGGCTTCCTCTGTCCCTACCCCATACATTTATGTTTTTGGCCGGGAACAAGATTACTCTTTCCTGTGCACGTCTGTTTTGATAGCAAGGGTCAGCCCAAACATTTAGAACATGACCCAAGCTCTATATTTCACCGGTGCTATACTGCAAAGGGTGGCAGCCAGGGGACAGCCCTCTTCCTAAGGGGAGAAGAAGTTAAAGTCAAGGATCTCTCTGCTCTTGCAAGGTCGTGCCCTGGGATCTAACAACTGTATACAGCAGGCAGGCTCTCTAATTGGTCATGAATCTTTTTTTGTAGTCTAAAGACGTATGAAGCTTGCGCTGCTCCACATCTACCAAATTTTTCACCCCCCTTTATGTTTCTTGCTCCACACTTTCAATTCACAGTGCTCAGATAACAAAGGGAATGGGTGTCAATATAAAGTCCAAGAGAATGATTTGTGGAGTGCTCTCATATTCTGCCTTCAGGCTGCTACTCACAAGCTGGACCAGAAAGTATAAACACAAGGTGCACAGCAAGCCTGATACGCACCTTCACACCAAAATGTATCACCGTTCAGATGGGCTGGCTCTGAAGTCCTATGCAAGTGGTTGCTCCCTAGGCACAGTCGTGGATGATACATTTTTACTTTCTTTAGCACATGAAATCCCCAAACCCCAGAAGCAAAATGAAACTGTTCTTGAGTACAGCCAATGGTCCCAAGGCAGGGTAATAGTGGCACTGAATTTTTAAGACTGATTGAAAGAAAAGCTGTTCCTGTCTGAGACTCTGCCTTTTGTAGCTAGTTTCTCAATATTCCAAATATTCCTGGAGCAGAGCATAGGCTTGGCTTCTGTCAAATATCAACAATTAAAGATTTAAAGACATACAAGTGTAAAACAGCATTTCAATCCAAAGCATGACATTGATAATTACATTTCTGAAAACCCCTTTTTTATAGATAGATCTTTTAATTCAAAATATCATTAGGGATAGATTTTGAGAGGCAGGCATGTGCAATTGTGTGTGAAATGCACATATAATTGTGGATCTAATTTGTATGCATAATTATCACAGCAGCTGAGGAGCGTAAGTGCTGTATTTGTGCAAACGAACTCAGCACGCAATTGCATGTGCATTTTTGAGGGTCACACCTGAAGTGTGAAGCAGAAAATGCAACACTTGGAGAAGCCTTGTTTACCAAGATTTAGTCAGGAATGGATTTTAAAGAACAGGTTATAGTCCCCTGAAAAGAAAGACAAATTTACGGAAGATATGGAGAAGTTTTCATATTGTAACTCATCTAACGTGCAGCAGTCTAATTTCAAAACGGCTGCCAGAGATTGCTCTCTGCAGAATAAGGGTCTTTTGAACATGAGGATACAACAGTAAATACCACTGCAAGTCACTTCAATTCACAGTGACTTGGTCCAAGCCATCTTAGTAAAATGCCCATTCTAATCCTGAGCAATGGGACACAACAGTTTAGCCATTGCTTTTCTTCTTTTTCTGGAAAAAGAATCTCATCCAGAGAGCTGTATCCAGAAAGACTCCTATGGTCCAAGTTTTCCTTTTAGATTTTTTTTTTTAATTTTGTCACATTCACAAAGAGGACAAACACTTGTACTAGTAAACTGCCTAGGAAAGCAAAGAGCTGCACAGGCTGGTTCTGAAACGTATCTTACCCTCAACTCAGCCAATGTAATCCTTGCAATTAGCAAACACCGCATGATCGCAGCAATCTCTTACCTACGTAATCTGGGTATGTTCCATAGGCAAAAAGATTCAGCAACTGGAAATAAGCAGCATTAGGTCCTTCAGCAAGCTAAACACGAAGAAAACAAGAGAGATCTTATCTCAGACAATAAAGGCCAGCGCGATATTGGCATGCAGTTTCTCTACAATGTGTTTTATTGCACAAACAATATGGGATTTTTTAGGTTAAAGAAAGACTATTTTCAGCTGTCAAACAGTGGGATCCACCCCCCCCTCCCTTTTTTCTTGTAATTAGTACTACATTTCAGTATTTTAAAGTCAGGATGATATAGCCATTTCCATGAACTAAAACTTGAGTTTACAGCCAGCTGCTTTATGTAATCTCTTAAGAAAGCATCCCCTTTAATTTAGCTTTAATCCCATAGGGCCTGCTGTTTTTATCACATGACAGATGAGGAGATTATAGTGCTGGCTAGCTAAGCATACAGTGCTGGCAACTTGGAAGCTCAGACAGCTTACCTGCAGAGTCTCAAACAACCCCAAAGGGAAGTGGGTTAGATGTGTGCTTCTGTATTTTATCACCTACCATGCAACCCTTCTAAGTAAAGAAAATCAGCTTCCCTGCTGAAGCTGCACACCCCAATTCTGGAGGGCTGTTTTTGGGAGAAAGATGCATGTAGTATACGGGTAGACACAGAATCTTCTGTCACAAATGAGCACTGCACTGTGGTAACAGCTGCAGCACCAAACTGGGTTGGTATTTTCCAGGGGTTGATATGAAAAAAGGTGGGGAACAGCAAACATCCAGCTCAATGCTAAGAGCAGTTGAGGCATGTCTCGTCACACACACACATTGTGTGTGATCACACATACATTGCAGAATTTAACTGGATGTCCAGTAATCACGCATTGGAGAATTTATCACCAGAACCCTGAAATCTACACCAATTCAATGGTTACCAGTGCTGGCCAATAGTGATCCTCCAGACATTCACCGCGAGGAAGCTACAGACAGAGATCATCCACATGAATGACAACCCAGACCTCCCCATCCATAGAGATTTAAAGAACCTCCCAGCTCACTGCTTGGTCTCCCGGAAACCTTTGTAGACACTAATGCAAGCCCTTGTAGGACATGACAGTGCAGCAGCTTGGAGAAAAGCGTGGAACAAAACCACCATTTGGAATAAACATCTAATTTCCAACCCAACAATAAAGCCTCCTGGTTTTGACTTTCTGCGAAAAACATAAAAGGCTCTAAACTGGATCCGAACTGGGCCCAGCCACTGCAGTCACATGATGTACAAATGGAGTATTAGGAGTTCTGCAAAAGGTGACTGTGGCAACCCTGATCAAACTATGGACCACATAACACTCTGCCCTCTATACAGATTTGATGGTGCCATTGCAGAGATACATTCCCTTTCCTCAAGAGCACTGCACTGGTTAACTAACCTTAGACTGGACTTACAATTGTTGCTGCAAGTCGCCTGACTTGGAGCAACAATTATAAGAATGGTCACACACGCAAGCCCACGTGGGAAGCTGAACTTCCTGTGCACCACACTATCCCAGCTGCAGAAGTGTTCTAGCAAAATCCTCCTCATTTTAAAAGAGGGGGCTGCGGGCAGTGCCTTCTCTCCAAGAGCTCCGAGTCTCCAGCATTTGCTCTGCATATTGGTCAGAAACCATTCGATTTTGGTGATTATTCTTTCCAGCCTGCTACAAAAGACATCTGTTTGCTAGAGTTCTCGGACACAATGGCAGATGCTTTCCAGGACAACAAAAGGAGATTTTGTTTCTCAGTGACTGGACAAATTCCTGTTTAGAAACCATTATTTTAGGGCTGCTGGGATTTTACTGTATTAGCCATCATATTAGTGCATCTGGAGCCCTGTTACTTAAATCGAAATTAACACAAAGATAAAATGGATATCATCTTTTGTACACTAGGTCCTCAGGAGGGTGGAGAAACGCATGGGACTCCAGCATGAAGGAGGTACTGGGACTGGGCCAAGCCATATCAGACTTTCCCTGGGAGGAGAAACTCTCAGGAGATTCCTTAAACCCAAGGTGTGGAAAGAACAGTCCCAGCCAAGTCAGCTCTTACCTCTTGTACATTTGGTAATTCCAGCAGCTCTCCAAAGACATAGACACCAGGAGCCTCTAGCACTTGGCTTATCAGAGTAGTCAGGGCTGAGCCACTGGTACCTTTGGCTAGTAAAATAAACTGCTCAAGGAGATTGCATGACGGCTTCTGTTCTCCTGCCATTCTAGGTATTCTAATCTGCCAAAAAAAGAAGTCATGTTAATTAATCCTTCCTCCATCGCTGGGTGTTTGACTGTGGATCAGAAACCAGGGCTGGGATGGTGGGGTTTTAGACTGTTTTGCCTGGTGTCCCATGGGAATTCAGTGCTCCTGAAGACCACAGGATGGAAAGCCAGGGAGACCAGAACTCCATCTGTTCACAGAGCAGAACAGCTCAGGCAATAGCGCCGACAGCGTCCCACGCACAGTCCTGTAACTCTCACCTATGCTCAGAAGGACATGCACCTGCCAGCTGAGCAAAGGGAATCCAGACTCCATGGTTGCTCCAGACTTTGCTGAGACTGCAAAGTAGTGACAACCATGGCAGTGAGTTTTGTGCCGTCCAGGAAAAATTGCTGAGACTTCTTTCTCCACAGAACTCATTATATGACGTTAGTTTCAAACAGAAACTAACTTCTGTTAGTTCTGTTTGAAACTAACTTATCCCCTTTAGACAACACAGAAATCCTTACGCGCATTTTCTGCATTGCTCATTATGGTATCCAAGTACTTGTCCATTATCAGCAAAGCAGGAGCATAGAATCAAACCGCTTTCCCAGCAGAAAAGGAGAAAATGAATGAGGCCTCTCACTAAATTGACCAGTTACCATACGGTTTTGCCAACAGGACAGAGTTTAATTGATGCTTTTTAATTACAAAGCTTAAGTAATAAAAATTCCCTGAGTAGAAAGGCCCAGTTCAAGTACTGTTATCTGATATCTTTATCTTCATCTCTGGCCTGATACATCCAATGCACAAGCTTCACTCTGGGCATTAATAGCTTTGGTTTTGAACCACAAGCCTCGTTATCAGGACACGGACTCAGCAAAATAAACTGACCCGATAAGCAACACGCCCCGAGAAAGCTGCAAAAAAATTAGCCTGCTCCCTAACCACAGTCCTGGTGCACTACTAGATACAACGATCAGCACGATATTTACAGAGGACGTTTCTGATGGCGGTTTTGTTCCCATCGTTGCCTCTCGACTACGGTGAAACAAAATTGCCCTCAGAGATCCTACATGCGTGTGCAGCCCGAGCTGAGCCAATGACAGCAGCACCTCTGCAGACTGGCCCGCGAGCAATACCAGCGTATTGGCGTGTCTAAGCAGCAACCTAAGACTTTGAAGCCATCATGTCCCGAGGGAACCACATCGTTTTGGAGAAATGAAAGGACAGCTGCTTCTTACTCCTTTCTGCCTTTATATAAAGTTTCCTCTTCTTTAACACTTCTTTACCCAGCTTCACACTAACACAACTGACTACCTCTCTCTTTAAAATCAGGTTTCGTACTTTCCATCTAGGGGCTTCTGCTCCCTGAGTTTGTAAGTCCTTTTGTTCAGGAACCATCTTCTTGTTATGGGTACAGACATATAACGGGGTGCCGATTTCTGACTGCAGCGGCACCGAGAGAAAGGCCTCAGCGCTAACACCAACAGCTAACTTCATACCACCTCTAAGGGGCAGATCGGTACCATTGCCCCCATTCACACGCAAAGGCGCTCGCGCGCAGGGGTGATTACATACGACTGGAAACGTCGTCCAGATTTCAGGGCTCCCCGCCATTTCCAAACAGGCTGCTGTGAAAATCTGGGGTACCTCGAGATCCCTTCAAGCACCGTCACCCTGCTAGGAGCAGGATAAACCCAGCGATTTCCCACAGACTCCAGAGCGTTAAAAATAAACCAGACCTGCTGCGGGCCGCAGCTCGCTTAGCGCTCTGCGAGGGAAGAAGGGCTCTGCTACTTTCCCGTAGTTAAAAAACAAGTGACAATCCAGGGCAGGTGTTTTCTGAGGGCGCCTCAGATCCCAAACGGTTGAGCACCAAGGTGCTGAAGCGCGCCGCGCGCTCTCTTTAAGGAAGCCGACGAGGCTCCAGAAAAACGCGCCGCCAGGACCCCCCGGGAGGCCTCGCGAGGGCCGGCAAAGCAGTGCTTCCAAACCACCGACGGCGATTTACGAGGTGAATGCACCAGTGCAGCGACAGGAGTCTAGACAAGGCGGCTATATTCGTCGTGCGGCTGTCTACAAGCGCGCCGCGGGGGAGGGGACAGAGGACCCCCGTCTCTCCCCCTCCGCGCCAGCACGACGGGCCGCGATGCCCGCGCGAGGCCCCGTGCGTGCGGGCCGGGGGCGGGGCCGCGCGCGATTGGCCGGCTGCGCCCGGGTCAGGGGGCAGCGGTTGCCATGGGGTAGGGGCGGGGCCTCAGCAGTCCCAGGTCAGGCTAGGGGCAGGGGTGCGTGGAGTCGGGGGTGCAGAGGTCACAGGTCAAGCTGGGGGTGGGGTCAGGGGGGCTGATCTGGTGAGACAGCCAGGGGCCCAGTTAAGGATAGGGTTGGGGGCTGAGTGTGGATGGTCTGAGGTCAGAGGTCAGGCCCCAAAGGGCTCCTGGCCATTTGGATGTGTCTTGCACTGCGGGGGGCACAGGCCGAAGCAGCAGGCAGGGGGGGACCCCAGCCCGGGTCTCCCTGCCCAGCGGCTGGCCTGGCCGAGGCGTGGCCGTGCCAGGCGGGCGCACGCGGGTTGCGGCCGTGCTGGTCCAAGGACACGGGCGGACGAGGTTCTTTGGGTGAATCGGATCTCTTTTATTAGACCAGCTTAAATAGTTGGGCAAAAAAAAATTAGCACACTTTTGGGTGTGAAAACCCTTCGCGGGGCCGAGGAAGCCTCTGCAGCTGGTGTGCGCTGTTCCTGGGTGGGGCGAATAGCAGCTCACACCCAGGTGACACCGGTGCCAGTATCCAAGACACCCCCACCCCATGAGGAGTGAGTTGCCATTGCAGCCGCGTGTGTACACAGCTCTCCCTCCCTCCCTGTGCTTGTTTTGATGCGAGTTGAAAGCTGGAACAAGCAGCCGGGTTAACCAACCTCTGTTTTTACCCTAGGAGCCCACCATTTCAAGGCTTCCCAAGCAGCGTTTTTGATCTAGAAAGTCCTGTCCTATCCATTTCAAGGCTGCCGTTAGACCGAGTGAGCTCTGAGAAACAGGGTAACCGGCATTCATGAGCACAGAGCTTAGCCCCAGCTATCGCTGCAGTCACTGAGCATTTGTTCACTCAGGGTTTGAGTAAGCGCATTTTCTGAGTAAATTCATGGCCTTTTTTAAATCTAGAGCAGTGGTTTTCAACATGTGGTCCACAGATCCCTGGGGGTCCACAGACTATGTCTAAGGGAAAAGATGCCCGTGATTAATCAAAAGTACGTGGAGACCCGCACTCACAATCCAAAGGCGTCCACAGATCCATTCGAAATTTCAAAAGGGGTCCGTGCCTCCATTTGAAATATTTGAGGGGTCTGCAAATAAATAAGGTTGAAAGCCACTTATCTAAAGGAAAGGCACTCCAATAGGTTACTCTGTAACCCCTAACCACATCTCCAACCTTGGCCAGAGCTGAGCAGGCGGCAGCACCAGGCATAGCACAATAATAAAGCACTTATCAAATCAAAATTTGGTACGGGACTCTTAAAGGTAGGAGAAATTACGTCTCCAAATATTCGAATATATCCACTGAAATTCTGCACATCAGTCTGTTTTGGTGCTTTTGTGGCTCACATCATTGTATTATGTTAATGTCTTTGGCCACTTGTTTCTAAATGTCATTCTTCTTGTCACAGTAATTCTTTACTTCACTTACATTAAACATTAAACTTTCTTCATCTTAAGGCTGCATTGATTAGACCAACTGAGAAATTGCAAAAAAAAATCTTTTCTGCAAGCTTTTGGGCTCTCACGCCCTTCATCAGGCTCAGGGAAAGTTAAAGATGGTAAAACGTCCCCATGGGTAGGAAATAAACTTCATTTTTAAAGGTTAAAAAGTCCTTATATGCAAAAATGAAGTTTATTTCCTACCTATGGGGATGTTTTACCATCTTTAACTTTCCCTGAGCCTGACGAAGGGCGTGTGAGCCCAAAAGTTTGCAGAGAAAGATACTTTTTTTGCAATTTCTCAGTTGGTCTAATAAAAAGCATCATGTCTGAACCAAGAGTTCTAGATTTTTGCATTTCTTTTTGTCTCAGACCTACATAGCTACCAAATATATCCCTAAGGCTGCATTTTCATTTTCTCTTTAATTGAAGAGAACAAGCCTTTGTTACACCTTGGACCTTAAAGCACTGTGCCTTTAGCTTCTTCCTTATGCTATTTTCCCCTGTGAAACTATTTAAAACAATAATAATATATAAGTAGTATTGTACATTTATGCAGCACTTTGCCTACACAACAGAAAACATACCCGTGTCCCAAAGCCACAGACTGATTTTGTAAAAACCTACCTATCGATTTAAAGTTAAGTGTGTTAGTAGCTCCCACGGGACTCTGGACCTCAGTAGAACTACTGGTACATTTAAAAGTGAGCTGGTGCAAACGTCTTTCAGGCTAAGACAAGATAAGGATCATTAATTCAGGGAGCAAGTGAGGGAAGGCAGAGTGGAGGAGAAAGGATGTCTGGAAGAAAAGGATGTTACAGAGAAGGAGAGAGGGGCCACCTGGTACATAGTGAATTTGCGGGTGTTCCCAGGACAAAGCCAAATCATGGAAAAGAGGTGAAGGGAAGAGACAGCTGCGAAGAGTGTAAGGATGGGAGCAGAGGGCAAAGAAATGAATCAGGAAGAAGTAGGGGTGACGTAGGGACACATATGTGAGGCCAGGGATCTTGGATCTGACACAGCAAGAGACAGGAAGACAGGGGCCGGAGTCTAGGAGAGAGGTGGTGTAGGCAAAGCAGGATGAGCAGAGTTTGATGTTAGCAGCAGTGTTTTGGGGAGAGACAGTGAAGCTAGAAGGGGGAGGGCAGCAGTGATGGAGATGACAGATGAACAGGTGGACATGTGCTTAGTGATGGCATCAGAGATGTGGAGATACTGGTAATAACAAAGATTATGATGTGTGATATCATCCTGTTTGGGTTCCCTGTTCCACGCTAAGTACTGAGAACAAATCTCCCAGCAGCAGACAGCAGCTGAACTTCAAGCGGATGCTTTTGGACAGCTGACCTCCCTT